CACTTACTCGAACCGTCCTGACCGCGTAGCGCCAGGAACCTTGTCCTCACCGCCAGGAACCTTGTCCTCACCGCCAGGAACGTTGTCCTCAACGACAGGAACCTTGTCCTCAGCGTCAGGGACCTTGTCCTCAGCGTCAGGATCCTTTTCCTCACCGCCAGGAACCTTGTCCTCACCGCTACAAAAATTGTCCTCTACAGCAGGAACCTTGTCCTCTGCGTCAGGAACCTTTGCCTCAACGCCAGCAACATTGGCCTCACCACCGGGAACCCTGTCGTCACAGCCAGGAACATTGCGTCACCGCCAGGAACCTTGTTCTCAGCGGCAGGAACCTTGTCCTCAGCGTCAGGAACCTTGTCCTCAGCGTCAGAATCTTTTTCCTCACCGCCAGGAACCTTGTCCCCACCCCCAGAAACCTTGTCCTCTTCATCAGGAACCTTGTCCTCAGCGCCAGCAACCTTGTTCTAAGAGCCAGAAACCTTGTCCTCATCGCCAGAAAGCTCGTCCTCACCGGCAGGAGCCTTGTCGTCACCGGCAGGAACCTTGTCCTCACGGCAAGGAACCTTGTTCTCACCGCCGGGAATCTTGTCCTCACCGACAGGAACCTTGTCCTCACCGACAGGTACCTTGTCCTCAGCGTCAGGAACCTTGTCCTCGCCGCAAGGAACCATGTCCTCACCGCCAGGAACCTTGTCCTCTTCACCAGGAACCTTGTCCTCACCGCCAGCAACCTTGTCCTCACCACCAGCAACCTTCTCTTCACCACCAGGAACCTTGTCCTCACCGACAGCAACCTTGTCCTCACCGCCAGCAATCTTGTCCTCACCGCCCGGAACTTTTCTTCTCACCGGCAGGAACCTTGACCTCAACGGCAGAAAGCTTGTCCTCAGCGGCAGCAGCCTTGTCGTCAGCGCCAGGAACCTTGTCCTCACCACCAGGAACCTTGTCCTCACCACCAGGAAAGTTGTCTTCACCGCCAGGAACCTTGTCCTCACCGCCAGGAACCTTGTCCTCACCACCAGGAACCTTGTCCTCACCACCAGGAAAGTTGTCTTCACCGCCAGGAACCTTGTCCTCACCGCCAGGAACTTTGTCCTCATCGCCAGGAACCTTGTCCTCAAAGCCAGTATTCTTGTCCTCACTGCAGGAACCTTGTTCTCACGGGCAGGAACCTAGTCTTCACCGGCAGGAAATTTGTCCTCACCGCCAGGAACCTTGTCCTCTCCGGCAGGAACAATCTCCTCACCGCCAGATACCTTGTCCTCATCGCCAGGAACCTTGTCCTCTTCGCCAGGAACCTTCTCCTCACCGCCAGGAACCTTGTCCTCACCGGCAGGAACGTTGTCCTCACCGCCAGCAACCTTGTGGTCACCGCCAGCAACCTTGTCCTCACCGCCAGGAACTTTTGTTCTCACCGCCAGAAACCTTGTCCTCAACGGCAGAAAGCTTGTCCTCAACGGCACGAACATTGTCGTCAGCGCCAGGAACCTTTTCCTCACCGCCAGGAACCTTGTCCTCACCGCCACGAACGTTGTCCTCACCACTAGGAACCTTGTCCTCACCGACAGGAACCTTGTGCTCACCGACAGGAACCTTGTCGTTAGCGTCAGGAACATTGTCCTCAGCGTCAGGAACCTTGTTGTCGCCGCAAGGACCGTTGTCCTAACCGCCAGGAACCTTGTTCTCTTCACCAGGAACCTTGTCCTCAGCGTCATGAACCTTGGACTCACCGCCAGGAACCTTGTCCTCACCGCCAGGAACCTTGTCCTCACCGCCAGGAACCTTGTCTTTACCGGCAGGATCCTTGTCCTCACCGGCAGGAACCTTGTCCTCACCGGTAGGAACCTTGTCCTCACCGCCAGATACCTTGTCCTCATCGCCAGGAACCTTGTCCTCATCAGCAGGAACCTTGTTCTCAACGGCAGAAAGCTTGTCCTCAACGGCACGAACCTTGTCGTCAGCGCCAGGAACCTTTTCCTCACCGCCAGGAACCTTGTCCTCACCGCCAGATACCTTGTCCTCATTGCCAGGAACCTTATCCTCACCGCCAGGAACCTTGTCCTCACCGCCAGGAACCTTGGTCTCACCGCCAGCAACCTAGTGCTCACCGCCAGCAGCCTTGTCCTTGTGACGAATTTAAATCGGCCTGTGTGGGTGTCGGGAAATATAACTTCATATACAAAAAAAAAGTGTAAATATATTTTTCTATAATTTGTTTGGTATATCACGGTGTAAATCCTATACTATTGTTTTAACTGTCTCTCAAGCTACGATACTTGCGTCCTTTGGCGAGTTGTTCGTTCCCGTTGTTTCTTCAGCTAGTCATGACAATCCCGATTTTTAGAGCGCTCGTTAAGTTTACCAGGGTTCAGATAACGGTCCTCGCTTTCAATTCCAATACACCGATCTCCAAATAACTTTGTCTTCACACGTTTACTGCTGAGTGTGTTGCTCAAGTCACTAAAGACTATACCAGAGCGTTTGATCATTGAAGACTCACGTAGTGTATTGCTCAAGTCACTGAAGACTATACCAGAGCATTTGATCATTGAAGATCCACCTTTCCATTATATAATGTGAAGTGCGGCGTTGATAACGTATATTTCTTTCGTTTTACTTTATCAAGTTGTTCTATCAGGGCTACACCTTCCCACCAAAGATCATATTACGTATGTAATAGATCCTAAAATTTTATACCTAATTATTTACACTATACTTCTCTTTTTTTTCTTTTTTTTTTTTAAATACAAAAAGTTAACAAGAACAATTCGAATTGAAACGTACCTGAGTGGGAGATACGATACGAAATTTCCCTTGGAACTGAACGATCGAGTTGCTGCACTTCGAAATCTTATGGCATTCTACTAAGCGCATCCACATTCACATGCTTCTCTCCACACTTATGTTCTAATTCGATATCATATTCCTGAAGGGTTAAACTCCATCGCAATAATTTCCTATTCTTGTTTTTAACCTGGTTTAACCAATCTAAAGGGTTATGATCCGTTTGAAGGATAAATTTTCTTCCAAACAGATAATACCTAAATGTCTCAACTGCCCAAACTATCGCTAAGCACTCTTTCTCAGTTGTAGACAACTTCATTTCTCTAGGCTGTAACTTCCTACTGACAAACACAACAGGGTGATCCTGACCTTCATTATCTAACTGACAAAGTATGGCTCCTACACCATAATCGGAAGCATCCACTTGTAAAATAAACAATTCATACCAATGAGGGGGCCTTAGAATTGGGGGAGACTTCAAAAGAGATTTTAATTCATTAAATGCTCTCTCACAAGCAGCCGTCCATCGTACACGTGTAGGCTCAGTTTTTTCGTCAGGTTAGTCAAAGGAATCGCAATATCTGCATAGTTTTTTATAAGCCTACGATAGTACCCAGTAAGTCCCAAAAATGAACGAACTTGTTTCTTGGTTTCAGGTCTAGGAAATTGCTCTATGGTACTTACTAACGCATCTCGAGGTTTTATAGTGTCCCTACCAACCCGGTGACCAACAAAATCTACAACGGTCTTAGCGATCTTACATTTAGAGGGCCTTGCTCGCAATTTAGCTTTACGTAATCTTTCGAGAACTTCACTAAGATGTAATATATGTTCTTCAAAAGTTGTATATGTATCTACCTCCACATCGTCAATATAAGCGTCGGCAAAGGATTCCAAGTCCTGTAATACTTTATCCCGCATCATTCGTTGAAAAGTGGCGGGTGCCGTTTTCATGCCAAAAGGCATAACGGTAAATTCAAATAAACCTCGGGGGGTAATAAATGCTGACTTGCGAATTGCTTGATCGTCTAAAAGAATTTTCCAATACCCTTTAGTTAAATCAATAGTAGAAATAAACTTAGCTTTAGCAATCTTTCCGAGCATTTGATCTGTACGTGGCATAGGGTATGCGTCCATTTTGGTTACGCGATTTAATTTACGATAATCGACACAAAATCGAATATTTCCATCTGGTTTTGGAACTATTACTACAGGCGATGCCCAAGGGCTAGTTGAGGGTCTAACTATCCCCATTTCTAACATCTGATCCAATTCTTTATTCACCGCATTAACTAAACTTTGTGGATATGGACCGGAACGAATTGGACTAGCTTGACCTGTATCAATACTATGAACAGCTACATTTGTCCGACTCGGAATATTTGAGAAAATGTCCGAAAATTCCTTGAGTAATTCCCGAACCTTTGCCGTTTGTGCCCCACTTAATTCCGATGAAATTTCGACGTCTTTCCACGTCTCCTCCTTTTCAACATAGGGAAAACTATGCTCATGCGATAAATGTTCAGGAAGAGGTCCCGAGGGAGCAAAACTACTTATTTCTTCTCTGGTTTTCCAAAGCCTTAATAGATTTATGTGATAAGTCCGTTTTTGTTTTCGCCCCTTTTCTCTATCTAATTCATAATTCAAGCCGTTCGTACAAACGTTAGTGACAGTGTAAGGACCCTGCCATTTGCTTTCGAGATTACTCCCAGGCGTCGGTAACAATACCAATACTTTATCGCCAATCTGAAATTTCCTATGCGAACTTTTCTGATCATAAAGCTTCTTTTGTTTGGCTTGACTCTTTTTAGTATTTTCATGAACAATACTTTGCATTTGACTTAATCGTCGTCGCGCTTCTAACACATAACTTATCGCGTCTTTGGGTAAAGATTCTTTGCGAACCCAAGTTTCTTTAATCAGTGAGAAGGGCCCACGTACACTCCTCCCATGTAATAATTCAAACGGCGAGTACCCAGTCGACTGACACGGAACTTCGCGATAAGCAAACAATACATACGGTAAATACTTATCTCAGTTATCAATTTGATTCGCTACAAATTTCTTAAGCATATGTTTTAAAGTGCCGTCAACCAAACCATTAGCCTCTGGATAATAAACCGACGTTTTAATACGCGAAATTCCCAATAATTCGTACAACTGTTTCATCAGTTGTCCAATTAAATTAGATCCTTGGTCAGAGACTATTTCATTTGGTAGGCCCACCCGTGAAAATACACTAATTAACGCTTCAGCAATAACGCGAGAATGAGTTGTTTTCAGCGGAATTGCTTCCGGATATCGAGTAGCATAATCAATCAAGGTCAAAACATATTTGTACCCTGTTTTTGTTTTTGGTAATTCACCTATCAAGTCGATTGCAATTTTCTTAAATGGTTCAGATACCGTTGGGACCGGATTTAGTGGAGCTCTACTCATAATTGATTTTCGGGCCACTAATTGACATTGTGGGCACGTTGCACAATAATCTTTTACTGTGGCCATGAAAAATGTCGAGACATCCTTTCGTATGTTTTCTCTTGTCCCATGTGCCCTGCAAGTGGAATAGAGTGACCTACTCTCAATATTTCTGGCCTATATGCTTCTGGGGCTACAACCCTGTCAATAAAGGGCAATCCATCATGCGGGTATTTTGTAAATTTTCTATGCATAATAATACCATTTAGGTAGAAATAACCATCTGTGTCTTTTACGCTCTTCCCGTCTCATTTCAAGTTCGTCGCGTTCTACTGCCATATCTCTTTCAAATTGCAAAGACGCAATCGTTCGTCAAAGCTTAAGGACCCCAGGGGCTCACGAGTACGTTCATAACTTGTGGGACCCGAGGGAATTTTGCCCTTATTGCCATAGTCATGGTCACTACTAAAATTACCCGGGTCTTCTACAGTTTTGGTTGTTCGTGTTTTTGAAGGCTCAAACACCCCTCTGTCAGTTTCCAATTCTACAGTCTCGTCTTTTGTTTGTACTTTTTCTACAGCTTTATCACTTGTTCTTAACCCTGCAGCAAGTGTTTTAACGCCATCTTTTGTATTAATTACAATTTCACGGCCAGCACATTCTTTTCTTAAGAGTTCTAATCCCCAATCGTCGTATTCGCTCATTATACGATTTAATTGTTCTTTCGTGATAATTGTTCACTATTAATACTATTTCTTCCTATTAACCGACTAATCCCACAGCTGCCACCAATTGTAACGAATTTAAATCCGCCTGTGTGGGTGTCGGCAAATATAACTTCATATACAAAAAAAATTACGTATATTTTTAGTAAAACTATCACAGTGTAAATCCTATACTATTGTTGTTAACTGTCTCTCAAGCTACGATACTTGCGTCCTTTGGCGAGTTGTTCCTTCCCGTTGTTTCTTCAGCTAGTCCTGACAATCCCGATTTTCAGAGCGCTCGTTAAGTTTACCAGGGTTTTGATAACGGTCCCCGCTTTCAATTCCACTACACCGATCTCCAAATAACTTCGTCTTCACACGTTTACAGCTGAGTGTGTTGCTCAAGTCACTAAAGACTATACCAGAGCGTTTGATCATTGAAGACCCACGTAGTGTATTGCTCAAGTCACTGAAGACTGAACACAAAGTGCGACGTTGATAACGTATATTTCTTTCATTTTACTTTATCAAGTTATTTTATCAGTGTGTAGACCACTCCTTAATCGGTGCTACTTCAACACGAGTTCGTTCGTTCTGCTTCAGTGTCTCTCTGATTATCGCCTTTTATTCTCTCGCAGCTTGATTACATATTCTGTACGCATATGATTTATTATTCTAATGGCTCCCAGGGCTACAGTCCAATGGATGGCTAGGGATATTACATCTTTACGTGTTTGGGGTGATTCGGGGTTGGTTTTTTTTTTTTTTTATATATCAAGTAAATCGTAATGCCTTGGTGATTGAATGTTATGGTATTAGGAATTGTCCCAAAATAAGGAGCCCCATCCTGTATATAATGTATAGTAGAGTTATAACTATATATCTTCACTTGGACTTTCGCAGATATTTTGAAGGTTTTTCCCATACTTAAAATACCTACTTGCGATAGCTCAGTCGGTAGAGCGAAGGACTGTAGTTGCTTAGGTCGTTGGTTCGAATCCAGCTCGCAAGATTTAAAAAGTGGACATTCGTTTTGATGGGATGGTCTTAAAATCTGGTGCGTGACTTTGCGGGTCGTAAATTTCATAAACAATACTAGAATAAATCTCAAATGGAAAGAGATCCAGGTTCTACGGTTGTCGAGTTGTTAACGAAATTGCAACAAAACACTTAGAGAACTATTTGTCCCATTGGAAACTATGAACGATTTAGAAGTCATGAGACAAATCTTAATAAGGCTTATCAATATTTTTTTTTGTTTGAGAAAAAACTTTTAGAACAATTAAACAAATAGTCTTAGTATTTGTAATATTTTTAGCTTGCAATAAATATATTTTCACCAGATGCATTTTCGTGTGATTAAGATACCCCTTATTTTAAGGTTATCAAGAATATTTGGAGAGTAATTTAGCATAAAGTCTTAGTGCTTAGAACACCTTTTTTTTAACTAAGCAACAAATATATTTTGAAGATATTGTATACGTATTGATATGCACTGCTAGAGTCCAAGCAATTAAGGACCTCAACAAATGTAAATACTTCATACAATCCTTACTCAGGAATCGAATTACGTTTTATTCTTTTCGAAATTTGGTAGCTCTTAGAAGAGCTTTTTGCTTTTTTCTTGGCTTTGTCTTCGTCTCTTTAGATACCAATCCAGTGGCAACCGCAGAGCGTGGCCCACCCACCACACTCAACGTGAACCGACTCACCCATTTCCATTGTCTGAATACGTAGCAGATTCACACACGCTGAATGTACTGTCGAACGACAAAAACTTGCTTGCATGAGTTGTTCTTCGATCTGCTTAAAACGCAGGCAGAGAAAACAGAAATTCATGTTCACGTAGTCCTGTCGACAGTACGCACAGCGTGCCGTGAGGTTATCGTTTTCAGACGCGGAAACGAATAACCAACTCCCAAAACATGCAGAGTGCACCAGGTGGCCACAACACGGGGTTTCTGTCACGGAACGTTCATCTCTGGCGATGTCTGCCAGGCAGAAGTGGCAGGTCTCACTTTCTCTTTGCGAATCTTCGAACGTCGCTAGGACTCCAAACAGACGGGAACCATCTTGATGGGAGAGACTGATCTGGCGCTGGAAGAATTCCGACAAATTCCATCTTGAGTTTACCTTAGCATAGAAGTTAGAAACGATACCTGTATTTATACATCCCTATTAACATAATAACTTTCTTTCAGTCTCTATTAATTAGCATTTGTCGGCAAGATGAAAAGTGTTAATTAGCTAGCACTCACATTGACCAGTGTGTATTAATCGCAACATTTCTTACTTGATCGGGTTGAATTTATTTTGTTCTATAAATTTGATCAGTGAACAACATAACTTAACTTAAACCTCCTTTCATAAATAAATAAATAAAAAAATTCGCCAGTGTCGCGAATTTAACTGACTATTATCGGGTAATTCTATTATCGGGTAATTCTTTGGTGATTAATAAACAATACATTATATTGTTAAGTTTGTGACTTAGCATATGTCGGTAAGATGAAAAAGTGTTAATCTACCATAACAATTTACCAGTGTGGTGAATTTAAATGACTATTACCAAATTAAAAGGTCAAATTGTTTGATGATTATTAGACAATAAAAAATATATTGGTAAAATTGTGACTAAAGGTTTTCTCGGTGTAAATTTTTCATTCGAAAAAAAAACAAACAAAAAAACAATTCCTAATACCATAACATTCAACAAAACTAGCTATATCCACTTGTTTCAAATCCCATACACAGATTCTTATAGCTTCTTGCACAATTTCAAGGTCACAAAACCCGCTGACTTTAAAAACTAAAGTCAAGTAAGCCATAATTCTACCAAAATTTCAAGGCTCTAACTCTTGATAGATTATACACAAATTTTCAAGTACGTTCTCTCTCCCCAATACGAGCTATCATGGATTCAAATAAACCCTCATGTTTCTCCAAAAGCACTTTTAAATGAAAACGAAAAGTATTCTCACTCAATTCAATGTTATTTTCCCTCAAAACCGCCATTATTAACCCTTCAGCCATATTTTCACTTAAAACGTCTAACATTTATATCCGCTCTTCTTATTATGACATCTTGAAACAGAATGATACTCTGAAAATAGCTCGCCTTGTTTTGTGACAGGAATAAATTTTCATCACGAAACAAAATGGCGCTAGGTCGGAAACCTCTCGTTGTTTTATCATCCTCGGTGTAACTTCGGAAAATTATCACTTATGAATTAATTAAGGTGATCACTATGATTATAACTCTATTTATTATGTGCATTAGGATCCTATCGGTTATGTAGATTCCTATCACATTAATTATTATCCCAATCTTTGTGTTTGTGGGGATTACCCGACAACGTTCCATCACAATATTTATGGTTCTATCAATGAAACTATATATTTTGAAAATACGCCTGTAAAACCATCGTTTTTTTGTTGTTTTTTTATTTTTATTCCGTTTAAAGTAATATAAGCAGTGTGCTATATTATTTGCAATGGTAAATAATCGCACTCGCTACAAAATTAATATCCCCATTACTTCCCGTTCAACACATTTGTAATAAATTTAATAATAACAAGATAAGACAACTAAAGAGGGATCCAGTACACAAAAAGGTTATGGAAACCGGGGATGTCTTTGTTAACGATGATAACTTCGACCACATGCAGGGAAGCGTTAGAGGTCACTATTTACAAGAGAAAATTTCTTTTGAAAAGACTTTTCAGAAACACACGGTATCGTAGTGATATTGACTCTTAATGGTGTTTGAGTTTGGTTTATAAAAGTAAAATAAAATAAAATACGATCCTGTGTGGTAGCTTTATATAAAGATAACAAAAACACCTAAGCGTTAAGCTCTTAGACGTTGATCGTGCTAAATTTTGTAAAATGTTTGAGGAAATAAATGAATTTTAAAACTGAAATCTTGTGCGGACTTTTCGCCTGCAAAGCCCGCGTGACCCTCCTGCGCGACCCGCCAGCCTGATTAGTGTACAAATATTTTGTGCGCGCGCCTGATTTTAAGGCATACACCTGCGTTATAAATAATCCCTATCTATCCATTGGGATACACTCAGTTATGCAAATTCGTATTGCCTTAATCCCCTTAATTACCTACACACCTCCTAATGACTTAGCAACACATATAAACGCAACATTTGTAAAGTTTAAACATGTTTATTGATACAAATAACAGACGGTAGTGTCAAAAATATTACAACTAAAACTATTTGTTAAACTTTTTTTTCTGTGTTGGTGTAGTGTACTCAGGTGAATATGATATTTGTGGTGTTACTTTGAGTGTATATCCACACCGGGCGAGCTTGAAAAATATGCCCGGCCACGGTGGGATTCGAACCTACGACCTTTGGAATACTAGCCCCAAGGTCGTAAGTTCCAAAGGTCGTAGGTTCGAATCCCACCGTGGCCGGGCATATTTTTCAAGCTCGCCCTGTGTGGATATACACTCAGAGTAACACCACAAATATCATATTCACCTGAGTACACTACACCAACACAGAAAAAAAAATCATATTATCTCAGTTGGAAGAGCATTGGGCTAGTATTCTAAAGGTCGTAGGTTCGAATCCCACCGTGGCCGGGCATATTTTTCAAGCTCGCCCGGTGTGGATATACTCTCAGAGTAACACCACAAATATCATATATGTTAAACTGTTCTATAAGTTTTTTCTCCAAGAGTTCTTGATAAGCTTTCTTATGATCTGCCTCAAAACTTCTAAATCGTTCACCCGTCGCCTTTACAGGATACATGTAACTCGGTGGATAAGAGAAAAACGCTTCAGCTACGGACTCGAATGGGTCTTCTAATCTCCAATGAAACAAATAGTTCAGTATACATTGTAGTTCGTGGTTCTCGGTGTTCTGATGTAGTTCCATCAATGAATCGACACACGTAGAATCTGGATCTTTTTCCAGTTGCTGTAAATGTTCGAGTACATCTCTATCAACCGCCAGTTTTAGTACCCTCATTGCGTCA